TTCCCTTTTTTTTTTTTTTTTTTTTCAGATTCAAATCAGCAAAAATTGCGCTTCAGTCTGTAACCGTTTTTCTCTGACGCAGACCTGCATTCTGTCTGTATTCATGCAGATCATATATTTTAATGAGCCGTATAACAGCATTTAACCCGTATCATTAGAGCAGCTTGCTCTTTCACCATGGAAAAGCCAAAGACTTTTTCTTAATTATGCTGTGTCGTGCGGGTCACCTTTACAGGTGTGTACCTCTCTGTGTGTGACCGTATTAGAGAATGATACCACCATTAAACATTTAGATGGAATTTAACACCCCTACACACACACAGACTGCCCCCTGTATCCATTAATTTCTAATCTCAATATAACAAGCTGTGTTGTCATTCACAAGAGCTGTCTGCCGGAGTGCTGAACAAGCCTGTGTGTGCATGAGAGAAAATCAGAGAGTCAATAGAACAGAAGACGATCAGTGACCAACAGAGAGCTGCGTTTAATCAGATACATTTGCTGAATTTGATTGAATCTCCACTGCAAACTTAATTAGAGGCCTGATTTAATATGGAACATCTAGTAAATGGTCCGTAAATATGATAATTATTGCCTAATTAGTATTTTTTTTAGGTGGAAGTTGCATATTACTGAGTGTTCATTAAGACTTTCCCATTTGCCTAGATTTAAATTGTGAATTTTGGGATATTGCGTAAAAAGTTGTATGTATAGTGAAAAGGCATGCGCTTATTTAAGAATTTAAGAAAGTATTACCTTTAAATATTTCTGAAATATTCCCTCAGAGAAGAAAATATTACCAGAGCAGTATTATTGCATAGCATTTCATATGTTGCTTTTGTCATTGCAATGTTCAGATTTTTTTGTTTAATTTCACATTGCAGTTTACAGCATAGCTACATCAGATGGTTTGTTGTGTCAGATATAGATGAGTAAATCTAGAGTAAGGTAATCTCTTTAGAAATCAAAATGATTTGACCTGTGAGCTCAACAGTAGTATCTCCTGAAAGACTGTTGTTAAATATTTAGCGCTTTCCTGTCATGAATACAAATGCTGTGTAAATGAGGGTCTACAGGCAGCTGACCCTGGGACTGGAGCCTGCTGAGTGGGGCTCACGCTAGCCTAAATGATTTAATTCTCATTACTTCAGCTAGTGTTTTAAGGAAACGCTTTGAAATACATCACCTGGTAAACACCGCTCTTCCCTGTCTCTTAGAGCTCTTCTACTTTTGTCCATGGGGAAAAACTGACTGTTCGTTGGTTTGACACCACATGGTATTTCTGTTATGATGCAGTTTGCTTATATCATCATGAACTGCTTACGTTATTCTGCGTTGCATAAAAAACATTGTTATATACTACAGTGGCCTTCAAAAGTTTGGAAATGCCCTTTGTTTCAAAGTGGGATTTTGGAAAATATCAGCATCAGTCCTTATTATCTGTTGATCGATTCAGTAAACTAACTTGAAATCATCAAGTAGATTTTCCTTTTGATTATATAATAATGACAATATATACATGTTCACAGTCAGACATGCCCCTTCGTCAGCTGTAATGCCTGATTACTGGATTCAACTCGGCTCAGGAATTGTTTTTTTTTTTGTTAGATGTTTGGTTAAGCACACCTTTAAAGTTTGACACATTGATTGCTTATTAAGGCTACTACACAACAGACATTTATAAATGAAACGGTTTATAAATAGCTCTAGTTCTTCCCTGCTGAATAACCCTGGCTGAAATACTCTAAGCTGGTCTCAACTGGTTATGATGGTCTCTCAGCCTGGCCATGTTGTATTTAGCTGGTTTATCCCAGTTTAGTCCAGCTGAAAGTGCTCAAAACCCTTTAAGATTTCAATGGTCAAAACTAGGGATGCACCGATACCGATACTGGTATCGGTATCGGGCCGATACTGAGCTCCTGTACTCGTACTCGTTAAAATGCCCCGATACCAAACGCCGATACCACACAGCATGTGATAAGCACCATATTCAGACAATGAAACACCAAAACCATTGTTCAGGGGTTTTATTGCTAAATGATCTTGTGTTTTCAAATGAATCAGTTGAGTCCATGATTCAATGACTCATTCATACAGACAGTCAGCTGACTCAGTGACTCACTTATTAAGTCATAAGATGCGTCCAAAATCACATACTGTGAACAGGTACTATATTTGGTTTCA